CTCAAGGTTGAAAGTCGATCCCAAAGTTTTTATGAATACGGATAAATCGTTTCCTATTCAAAGAGTGTGAAAAAATGCTCACCAATTTAAGAAAATTAGATTTGAAAGGTTAAAGTTATCTCAAAGAGCATTCAAATTAAAATAGTTTAATATAGCTAAATATGAAACAGATATTAAGCGAAGATATCTGACAACATGATGAATTCAAAGACAGTAAAATTCGTAAACGTTGAAATTTTATATGAAAATTTGAAGACAAAACAACTTACTAATTGCATTGGGACTCTCGAATATTGACAGAAGTGATAGTATTCTGTTTTACACAACCTTGAGTTGGAGTCATTGGCACAGTGTTATGATCGATATCATCAAGATGTCCATTGGAATATAGAATATCAGAACGTTGTAAAGAAGTTCTATGGTTCATCTGGGCGGACCAAAACACCACTCTTATGCCTTTCTTAGAAAAATAATCACACCAAAATTTCCTAAAATAAAAAAAAGAAGCGATCAATCAGGTATCATTTTATGTTAAAATTAGGTAGAAAGCTAAAATCGAAGCTTGCTAAACGAAACGAGGGCACAATTAGTCTATATTTTGATATATAGTATAACAAACCTTTGTGAGTATGAGAGCAAATCAGATTTATTAAGCATCAGTATTGTTTTCTTCATGAGATCAAGCTCAGCAAGATAAATGCTGAGATCCTCGCAATAAAAGAGCAATGGCTGGCGAGCATCAACAATTTGTACGAGAACGTCACTTCTTTCAATAACACGCCAGAGCTGGCGCCAAAATTCCAAATTTTTCTCATAAGGCGTAATAACCCCGGTATGCGACTCTTCGATCCTAGTTAAATAAATTAAGCGTGAAATTATGTGCTGAAAATTCGAAGTACAGCGCTAGCTAAGAATGCATTAATATTATTTAAGCTCGTATGAAAGAAAAAGTAAAGAAAAACATTATGGATTATAGGAATATTAGGCAAATAGTTGTTACACGAATAAAAAGAAAGGTAAGTTAATGCAATTGGAATGCTACCTGGAAAGCTCTCTTCGCCAAGCCAGAAATGCATCTTTTTCTAATAGGTTTAGTTCTTCTTTTGTAGTACCTGAGCACCACTTGGGTCTAAATGTAATAATTTACAAATTTTTTAGTTAGTTCTTACTGATAAAATTTTTAGGTACATCAATTACCTTCTGGGTATCTTCAATTTGGGAAGACTTGTATCGGGCAAATTTGACAAGGGAATAATCAAGTTGGTCGTTCGATTGACCAACTGGATGTTTTTTCTCTCTTATATTTAATTCAAAGATTAAAAAATACCTGCATTGAAGTCTTGATTTGACAAAGACGCTAATGAGAAAAAGTCTGAGAGAGTGTCGCTTTCCGTGATTGAGCGCACAGGCAATCGGCCATAGTCCGAGTTCACATCATCAACTGTCGTATGTAAGCACTGCAAGGAAAGTTTAAAGATATTGGGAAAGCTAACCGAAGAGGCTTTTGCGCGCCTCCTACTTTCCTTGACGAGAGATCTGCCGAAGGCGAGAGCACGGGGCATAATTGAAGAGACCGGCGACGTGCAGACAATTTTAAACTTCGTATATATGCTAATTATACTTATAAAATATTAATAAATGATCATTACTTCTAAGGGTTAGCAGATATTCTTTAGGTATCTTTAAATGACACTATATATGGGCTGTCTCTCTATTTAAGCATAAACAGGATGCAAAAGAAAAAATATGTCCTTTATCATATCTTCGCCTTAAACACT